TCTATCTATCTATCTATCTATCTATCTATCTATTTATCCATCCATCCATCCATCCATCCATCCATCCCATCCATCCAACCAACCAACCAACCATCAACACACAGAGGAAACAAAGAGTACCGTCACCATGTTCTTTACTGCTCAACTTTTTTACTGTAATAGCAAACAGGAAACTCTACTTAAAACAAAAGATCCAAACTTTTAAATACTTCCATCTACTGGCTGAATACTACTGTAGTAGTTGCATAGAAATACATCCAACAATGAATTCCAACACACATCAAGCATAAGTTGATGTCCAAACAGCTGAATGTTTCCTCAACATTTCTTTATTCCAGGTTCAACTTCAAGCTAAATTCCTAGATTTGTCTTCCTGGTTTTGTAGGGTGCAGAAGAAAGTGTTTGCTTCCATTTAAAGACATCGAGACATGTTCCCATGTTTTTAAAAACATCCCACCTAGTTGCAGGGAACTTTCAGCCCCCTTATCAGAGGGGAAGAAAAAGGCAATTCCTGCCCCAAGGATTTCGTTGTTTATAATTTAATATGGAAGATGCAATAGAGAGTGCGAGACATAACCTTCCCCATTGCATCCTCTATATTAAATATTAAAGGGGGATTTGTATCTGAGAGGGAAATATGCATTTACATTGATTGGCAGGATTCCACATGGATAGAAATGAAGCAAAGCAGAATTGCTGCATTTTTATTAAGGGGCAAAAATAGTTGGGGAGAATATTGCACAATGGTGTTTACTCCCAAATCACCCTCATTTCATCTGCCTTTTTACCCCGTGAAAGGGTGAAAGGAAGATCCAGGATTACAGTCTTCATATATTTTAGCAGGTTATTTATGCGACCCAATTTGAAACGCATGATGTACTAACATGAAATTTTCTGGCTTTGATGTGGATTCTCAATGGCAGGCACAGTCGTGAGGCAGAAAGAGTTTCCTTACACAGTACCACGTTACATCGTCCCCAAAACGCAACTTGTAAAGACTCTCAGTATCAAAGGTAAAAGGGAAGGGGAGAAGGAATGACTGCTGGTTTTCATTCGCTTGGGTGGCGTGGGGGGTGGGGTTCTCCCCCTTCTCAATTTTGAATTGGGTTGCTGAATTTTTCAAAAGAAATATCATTCACCCCATGGAGGAAGGGACGATTGGGAGGGAGAGGCAGGAAGGATTGGGAAGGAGGGAAGGGAGGGAGGATTGGGAGGGAGGGAGTCAGAGAGGAAGGAAGGGGGGGATTGGGAGGGAGGATTGGGAG